GTGTGTGTGTGTGTGTGTGTGTGTGTGTTCGCCTGTCGTAGCCATAAATCTTCTTGTCATCGTTCGATCGTCAGCGCTAGAGAAAAGCCAACATGCATAGACTAATAGTAGCAGGCCAACTGATCTATATTTGTATCGAGTAAGCTTCTAAACTCAAACTAAAATAAGCATGCACATATATTCTTGTTGAAAGAAACAAAATACTCTTAAAAGGTCACGCGCTAAACCGAAAACTAAAATTTTGCGGTGTCATACAGAGGCTCGCAATGCATACAGTGGAGTCCGCCTAAAGTGAACACGCTTTATAAGAACAATCGGTTTAATGCGGTGTTCACACATACAGGAGTAGAGTCGACGAGCAATTCCCGAAAAAGATAAAGCCAAATTCGGGTTTAATCGCGACGAGCATCTGGCCATGACTGTTGACGTTATTGTGTTGGTGAGCACTCGGGGAGACGCTCGCCGAGCAATAATTTAGGGCGGCGAGCATAGCTCCGAGTGTCTCGCCGAGCAATTAGTTTGAATCCTGGCCGCTCGCAGAGCTAAGAAACATAGCGGCCGAGTAAAATTACACACGCCGACAAACTCGCCGATCATGCTGACGATCTTACCACCCGTCGCCGAGTTAGTCGGCGTCCAGTGCTATAACATATAAAGAGGGGGGGGGAGGGGAAGTGTTTGTGTTCATTCCTTCAACATGTCTCACATGACACAGACGATGGATGTGTTCTTTATGTAAACATATTGTGCCCTTTCAGTTGTGCTGGTGCAAGAAGAGGAGAAGACGGGGAAGAGGAGGAGGAACTGTTGGTTTAGACTATGGCTGATAAGAAGACCCCCGTTTGGACAGTTTGAGAACCTGAAGGCTGAACTGCAAGTTGAATATGTTGCATCCTTCAGGAACTTCCTCAGAGTTTCTCCACTTTTCCCAAAATCTGGTGGAGAAAATTGGCCCCACCATCCACAAGGCAAGCAGTTTCTAGAGGCAGTCACTGGAATCTGGCATCAAGCTGGCTGTCAATCTTCGATACCTGGCTACAGGAAATAGTTACAAATCTCTACAGTATGGCTTCAGACACGAAGGTCGCCGTGAAATGGCGCATGCTCGTCGTGTCAACTTTTGCACGCCGTGCTTGAGTAACTCAGACTCCCAGTGCAAGATTTTTGCATCGTGAGCAATAATTTAACCCGTAGATTATGAAATTTAACTCGGCTACCATTCAGATCTCGTCGGCGTGTCATTGTCACCCGGCAACGTAATCAACTTTGCACGCCGAGCTATTTCTGACACTCCTCGAGTCCTCCCCGAGTTTTCCCCAAGCGAGTATTTGACTCGGCGACTTATTTTGTGCTCGGCGGAAATTTTAAGCATGTTTGAAAATTTCGGCAAGCTTCCCGAGTAATAATTTCACACGGTGAGCATGAAATGTTACTCGGGGAGTGAGGCTGATTGTTCGGCAAAGTGTATCCAGAGTTGCCCCGACCTACTGGACTTTGAAATTTTGGCTTTCTCGGCTTCGTTACTCCTCTATGTGTGAACACCGCATAAGTGAAAGATATTCTATGGTCCAGATTGAAATGTTAAAATAGTGCATAAAATGAACCAGTTTCATGAGGAAAGAACGTCCAAAATGAGTGAAAGCGAAGAACGGACCGACCGTGTCACTGTCGCCATGCTGTAAAAATATAATTCTTTGCCTCGGGCATCGGCAGACAATCCCAGCTCGGCGTTTTTCTAGGCCTCCATACTACCAACATGGTTAAACTGAACCTCGGATAAAGTGAACACCTTCTTCTGGTCCCAAAGAGTTCCATTTAAACGGACTCCACTGGTTTTTTTAATCCCCCTGACTAAGCGTACATTCTCCAGACAGGCGTTTTAAAAAGTAGTCTGCATCCTGCTGAACTGTTTTCATTCACTCGTTCACCCCACTAGCCAACGGCCGACGTCACAAAGCTCGCGCAAAGATCTATCAGTTGCTTCCAGGCAAGGAGGAAGTTATAGCTATACAGTTAGTTCTAAGGTCCTTGGTTGCTTTGCTCACCGTCTGTGATTCGCTTTTGAGTTGAGAGATTTGAACGAAAACCTAGCAGTCACGATGCCTGTACAGAAGGTGAAGGATTTTCTGGGTTTTTCTATGAACCTGTACGTTTTTGAGAAAAAGCCGCAGTACTTTGGTGGGGCTTTGTTTAATCACGACATGATGGAAAATATGCCGGTGAGTTGATTTTTTTAGAATCCCTCGTCTTCCTTTTCCTCCATCCCCTCCTATCCTCCTCCTCCAACTACTCTGATACTCCTCCCTTTACTTCAGCGACTACTCTCCTTCTTCTCTTTCTTGTCTTCCTCTTCCTCTTCCAGCTCCTCATCCTCCTCTTTCTCTTCCTCTATTTTCTTATTCATGTAGTACTCATTTTCCTCAACCCCCTTTACCTCCTCCCCTCCTCTTCATTTTTCTTGAAAAGCACAAACATATTAATATTATACTGAGACGAAGAGTTTACTGTAACAGCCATTTACATAAGATGTTCTACGTTTTACCATCTACGACTCTATCCATACTCTATGTCCTCCTCCTTCCACTCCTCCTCCTTCAACGCCTCCTCCTCCTTCTCCCCCTTCTCCTCTTTTTCTTCCACCATCTCTTCCTCCTTCCACTCCCACTCCTCCTCTTCTTTTTCTTCCTCCTCTTCTTTCCGCTCCCCCTCCCACTCTCCCTCCTCCGGTTCCTCCACGACCACACGCATCCTCCCCTCCGTACCACATACCAATCCTTCTTGTTGTTTTTGCAGGATACAATAAGGCTATACAAGAGACCGTCACATCAAAGATTGTTTACTAGAAGAGAATCTTTGGTCACATGAACTACGGCTACAATTGATCGTTATCACACCTATTCTATTTATAACCATCGCCAAGGCTTGCCTTTTGCTTGGCCAAAAAACAAACTGATAATACATGCAGCCCTGAAACCCTGTGCATTGACTTCGTGTTTCATTTTTTTGACTGGTTTGGTGTGTGTGCGTGTGTGTGTGTCATATATCCGAAACAAGCATCGATGAACATGGTTCTCCATTCATGTCTCCGCTTGAATGCACTAAACACCCCCCCCCCC